CTGCTTAAGAGCAAAAAAAAAAAAAAAAAAAAAAAAAAAAAAAAATAATTTTTTATAAAATTAAATATAAAAAAATTTTACCATTGAGTTTATATATAATTTCAATATAGTACTCTTTATCCTTAAATGCCAAATTTTCAACTTGTTAGTAAACTTTAAATTGATATAACTTCTTAAAATTAAAATCAAGTAAAAGTCTTTTCTAGCCAAATTGTAGCTTGGGCTTAAAGCTACAAATTGGCTAAAAAAATTTTTTTTAATTTTTTTGTTTTTAAGTTATATCAATTTTTGTAAATACATTTAAAAAGGTTGGTTTATGGTGTTCCGCACTGTATGACGTTGGCAATTGAAAATAAAACATTATGTATATAATATAACATATTTTTTAATTGGCTATTTTAATTATTCGTGAGATCGAGGACCGGTTAAACCGATCCTTATTCAGTCCTTTCAGGACTGATCCATCCCTAAGCGTTGCTAACAAAATTACGTAACATTAATCATCACAAGGAGATAACTACCGGTGATGATTAATCATACTAATTTTGTTGGCAACGCTATGCATTACGTACGGTATATATATATATAGAGCATAATTCACATGGAAGCCAATGGTAGGAATTTAAAATAAAATTGCAAGATCTCGTGTAACTTAAAAAATTCGAAAAGCATTGTGAAAACAGAAAAATCGCAAATAACTCAAGGTTTTACTATGATAACCGTTTGACTTCTAAATAAAAGTTTTCAGCACGAAATTTTATTTACATGAAAACATTTTTAAATATCGAATATTAAGTAAATTAAAGCCTGCACTAAATTCTGATCTTTATGCTCTTTTAAATCATAAAACGTTACAGGTTTATAATTATAACGATGCTTAGTTACAGCGGTTTTTTTAAAAAATGATAGTTGTTGTTTTTAATCAGTGAAAATTTGTCGGTACTTGATTCAGTACGTGCTTTAAAAAAAAGGAATGACGTTAGCTAAAACGATAAAGAAAAAAAGTGACGATAGTCAAGTTCAATAGGATTCTGTTAATAATATTAAGGACGAGATTGGGATAGTGACCACTTTTATTGATCGAATTGAATCAATAATCGAACATGTACTCAATTATTGTGAATTTATAATAAACAAGTATAAGTGGGGTTTAAGGGGTCAAATAGAAATCCCTCGTTTCATTTTAATCCGATTTCATTATGATCCGCGACAATTATTGATCAATTATGTTGAATCGATCAGATGGTTGAAATTTGATCGATCAAGAAATTTTTCATAGAATACCATCATGACGCATTTGTAAACTACCTCAAAAATTTGACTGCTGATATCGATATGTAAATATAGATTTTGACAGAGATAATCAAGTTATGATGCGTCATTTTAATAAATTCCTATGCCTAATGAGATGCGTCGGGAAGATAGGTTAGACTCCTTATCGGTACAGATCAGGGGTCCGAAATTTTTTTTCAGGGTTTGATATTGATTGATTTAATATATAATTTGATAACTAAAATTTAAATTTGGGGATCAAATGATTGCTTAATTCTATTAACCCAACAAAATTGTCCCGAAATATTCTCGATTTTGATTGGCTAAGAGAGACGATCAAAAATTTGACCGGAATTACTCAAAATTTTACTAATGAAATTACAGCTGCCCATTAAGTGAAAATTGTTCCCGGGCCAATTTTGCCATCGTGTGGGCCTGTTTATTTGAAACTTTCTATTTTTTGAATAAAAAGGTTAAAAGTTAATTCCGGCCAGAAATTAATAACCAATTATGTAATGCGGGCCAAATTTTTGCAGATCCATGACCATTAGCCAATCAAAATCGAGGATCTTCCGGGACAACTTTGTTGCGGCAGTTATAGTTCTGCTAACGCGCCGAACTGCATTATTACTTTAAATTTTTTTTTACGTAGTAAGATATGATCGATCAATTATTAACCTAATGATTGATCAATTATATGTTGTACGTCGTAATAGACTTATTGCAGAGTAGAATCTACTTGGGTTGAAGTAGAATCCCATATGTAGCCCAAGTTGACATGAAATCTAGAAGCGGCTTACAGATGTGTAATAAACGTGTAATCGATTGGGTTAAAGTAAATTATATCTTATCGTTATATTGAATTGTAAATACAAAAATTTATTATTATTTTTTTCTTATTACTGTATTTATATTTTCTCTTTCATCCATTATAGCTTTTTTATCTCATGGCGAAGTCTCCTGAATGATATCGCAATAATCTCAAGTCACAACAAATGTAATAAAAATTTACAAACACTTATAACGTTGCAGATTTAATACGCATCAAGTTCTAAAATCAATAGGACCCATAACATTCCCCTGCAAGATTCTCAAAGCCCTGAAAAATGACACATACGGACTTTGATATAAATTAATTGCATAAACTACTTTCATTGGGTTAGGGATGGGCAATGTAATTTTTTATGTAATCGATATGTATTTTTTAGGCCTTACATATTTTATGAATTATTACATATTATTACATAATTTTTAAGAGTAATAGATCACTTGATAAAATTGTGAGGAACGAACATGAGGACGTACCAACGTGAGCTTGTACATCATTAAGAGTGTTCAAAAAACAAAGTTAATGATTAATGACATAATTTCTCATTATTACCTATTGCAATAAAATCTTAAATAAGAATACATAAGAAATATGTAAAAAATTTGCCCATCCCTACCTTGGGTTTCCAGAGTTGGATAGTATTCCTTTAACGCTTATAGTGATTTTTTAGTTTAAAAAATAAGTAAAATAAGCTTTCTATAATCAATAATATGACTGTTTATTAAGTATCTATTATTCAATCCTCTTCGCAAGTTGGTAATGTTAAATACAATTGCAAAAAATGCGTCCGATAAAAATTATAAAAATAAAGAAAGTTTCTTATGGTAGTAGTTGTCATTCCTAGTAGCCATAAATGTAAAGATTTATATAACGTTTTTAAAGTTTAATTAATTTGCGATAAGAATAAATCTTGAAACAATCTACTCGATAAAAATAATTGAATCTTATTGTAAGTTAAATTTGAATTCTTTAATAACTTGAGTATTATTTAGAATTTATTACAAACTATGTTTATTCGAAATCAACATAAGTAGATTCTAAATCTATAATAATTCCATTTCGATGTACAATATATAATGCCGGATTTACATCCAAATTTGTATGTATCATTTTTCAAAACTTCGAAGATTTTGCAAAGAAGCGTCTTTCGATCACTATGTGTCCTGTCAATGTCAGGAATCTTGATATATACTAAATCTCCAACGTTTGCAAACTTTTTATTACGCCAACATCTACACTACTATCTTTTTTACGACTATTATTAAATAGTAAGGTAAGTGTTCATGTCATAGTTATTAACAACTAAATATTGCACGGCCGAAATATTCTACGGTGACGCGCTTATTAGTTAGCATATATCCTATTCACCCATTAATTCCCCGTGTAAGATAGACGACCGCAGGAACACCAAGTAACTAGAAAAAGAACGTTCTATGCCAAAACATAGGCCACGAAGAGCTTTCAATTTTTCTCAGACGTTTTACACCGATGGGGCAGCGCAACTTCAGATATATGATAACTCAACAAATAAATACTTAGTGAAAAAAAAACCCACCCTTTATGAACGACCTTTATGTCAACGCTTCTTACATCTTGAGGATATTCACAACCCTCTTGTATAGGTGGTGTCTTAAATAAGAACGGAAACAACGGGTTTCTAAGAACATATTTTATAATTTCGATCAATTTTATGAACAATTTTGAGGACAAAGTTATATATTTTTTCTCACATCTTTTTTATTCCGAACTGTCATCACTCCTTTTTTGCTGAGAACATTTTCCGATTTATTTCTCAAGAGAACGTGTCATAATTACATAACAGTAAAGATTGTTATTAATAAAGAACAGCAAACAACCATTTTAAGAATGTATATCAAAATTTGCTTTATTTGACTTTAAATAGAAATTAACCACTTATTCGTACACGATATAAGGTTTGAATATCCCCAAGGGGCAAAAATCCGCAAATTCGTGTAACATATAAATCAAAAAAATCAATCCAAAGATTAAACAATCTGTAGAATAATTTAAACAATGTTTATCTATTCTACCTAAATAAATATGTATAATTACATATTAAATGCAAACATTTAACCAAATTCTTACTAAAAACATAATTTATTTTTATGATCAATACTAAAAAACATTTTTACTGTATGACAATACAAGAAAAGTTAAAACTCATAAGTTGAATAAACAGAATTTAAGCTAAAGGATGAAAATCAATGTAAGCAATCACTAAAACCTAACTAGATCGTAAAAACAAAAAAAAAAAAAAACTTAAAAAATGATGAAATACAATTATTTCATAATAACAATAACGTACAACCACTATGAAAAAATAACCATTATTCTGAGTTTCTCATTTTCGCTGCTTCTAATCTTTCCAAATCTTCGTTTTTGATGCCCATCCAACTTTTAGGAGAATAAATCCAAAGAAACAACTTGCTCAGAGGAATTCCCGTGAATCGATCCACAATATTAAGCTTATCTGCAATTTGTGAAAATACAGCTTCCGTGTACCAACCAAGCCAATAGAATGTAAGACCCATAGGTGAAAGCTGGTCGATAGGGCCTATGTAAAGACTATCAGTAAACAATTCAAGTGGAAGTCCACGTGAAGCAGTGGTAACAAATGACAAGGATGTATTAGAAGGTTTCAATCTTTTGGCCGTGAGTGAAGATTCGGATTCATCGATGTCCTGAGAGTTTTTGGAATTCTCGAATAAAATATAACGTTGATCATTAAAGTTTTTGTTAGCCGTATTATCATCCAGCTCAGGAGATGTTAACGGATCTAGAAAAAACGATATACATATGACAATTAACAAAAGAATATTATATGTTAAAAGAAATTCAATAGCTTACATTGATTATTAGCTATTGCACTCGTATTAACATTATTAGCGTGCAAGATTTCTACAAATAATAATGACGATAAATAACATGTTTTAAATTCTATAAATGAAGTTTATAGCAAAGAATTATAAATCACAAACTTTGCAATTCATTTCTGCGGTCAAAGTGATTCGAGTTATGCAATTTAGTATAATAATCCTGGATATTATCCTTTGTATCTTCACCCCATCCCTCTTCACGTGAACTAAAAATGCCTTTGTCTTCTTCAGTCGGGGCCGTAATGTCAGATAGAGCGTTCTCACCCGAATCTTCGGTAATTGACGATTCAGATTCACTCGGAGGGCCAGTATTTGCGTCTCTTCTGGGACTAAGATATATTGCGGTGTTGGCATTGGCATTTATTCCAGATTCATTACTATGTTGAGGACCATTTGACGAACCGAGTTGCTTGTTCACGTGATCCTTTTCTTGATCCACATCCGTGTGACCATGGTGAATTTTTTTGTCCAAAGGTTCATCTGTGATTTTCTCATCAACGGTTAATTCATTACCATTGGTACCGACATTGCTCGGTGGAGAAGTATCATTTGTGGCTTCACTCGCAGCTAACATAAATGTACAAGTTCTATTAAGATAGGTTTTCTTTGGATGCAAAAATAAGGATTTGGATATTATATTACGAAAAAAGATACCTACCAGTCATAACTGATGAATTATCAGAAGCAGAAATCCTTTTTGTTTTTGTTTTCCCTTTATTAGTTGGTAGCTTAGTTTTTTTACGTTTCGGTGGGCTCATATTGTCAGACTTCTTAGATTTATTAATTCCAAGACTAAGAAACATTTTAAATAGAAGCGAAAGGAACCAAATTTATTTGATGGTAGAATAGGTGTTTATCAAGTTATTAAAAAAAAAATATGATGATAGAAATTTATCATATATTATTTAAAGTATGATAAATGACGTTATAATACAATAATCATAACATTAACAATGATAATATTAGAAAATACGTAGTCAGTAGAAATTAAATTTCATAAAGTTTTTTTGGGCCATAATTTTTTTATCTTTTTTTAAAGACTATTTATACTGATTGATGGATAGATTGATTATTCGTCATGATTTGAACGTGTGAAAAATGATTAAAAAAAGTTTTTTGAGTGGTCACATGATAATGACTTCTATCGCGTTTTCGAATAACCAATTATAGAGGTCCGTCTTGTGGAATTTTATATGTGTCACGTGAACTTTCGCTTAGTAATCAATCTGGCTTTAGACTAGTTCCAATTATATATTTATTAAAAAGTCTGTATAACCATATAAAGTTACAGAATTACTTGTATATGTTGTAAGTGGGGTTGATTTTATCATATAAACATTCATACCCTAACCCTAATTTAACCAAATCCGTTTCCTCCTACAACATATATAAATAGAATAATTAACGTTAAACATCTTTACTAATCATTATTACTTCTTGCTTACTACTTGAATTCGTTTACGTTAAAATGTCGTATTTATTCGATGATTTGGTTGAAATCCTTCCTCTTAACTTCATTTCTCCAATGACTATTGGACTTCGGAATCAACCATCAGGGGTAGCAATTCCGATTGATGTTTCAACCACACAATCTCATTACATTATTCGAGCTGATGTTCCAGGCATTTCATTATCTGATATTTCCGTAGAAGTTTCCGATACGGATGTATTGACTATTTCAGCTCATCGTAAAAATGAAGTGCAAAAAGATGAGGAATCTAAAATTGGTGAAAGATATTATGGAAAATTTGTTAGAAGTCTTAAGTTTCCAAAGGATAGCATTGTGACTGACAGCATTAAAGCTGAATTGGCTAATGGTGAATTGGTTATCAAAATTCTTAAAAAGAAAAGTGGAAATGAAAACAAGATTATAAAAGTTTTTCAAAAAGGAAAATTGTGAATACGAATGTTTTTTTTTTTGCAAATAGTTATGTTTACAAAATTTGCAAAATTTTAAATGTTCATATATTTGTTTTAATTACAAACATCAGTCCTTCTAACTGTTTATGCATGTAATTGTTGAAAAAATGTCAATTTAGGTTTCAATTCGAATAATATTACTTTACTTTTATCGTTATGTACATTCGAGTTTTATGCAAGAATAAATAATATGTTTACTTTTAAGAATCTTGTGTTTGGTATTAAATTTTCTGAAAAAAATAATAACTTGAAAAGGTTTAATTATTTGTTTAGCCAACTCGCAATACAAACATGGGATCATCTCGTCATTGCAGATACAGTTAGATGATCTTGAAGTAAATGCATAATTTAGTGATATTGTTGTTATCTTATATTAACTAACCCGTTGCTAACGAGTTTACACATGCTCGTGCTTCGATTATATATTGATTGGACTTAAAACTATTAGAACCTATAAAGTAAAATCAATTTGATTATTTCAAGTTTTGCAATGACATTCCTTTGTAGAAAAAAAAACACGGGCCAAGAAAATAAATCCAATAGACCAGATTTATTATATTACGTGTTTAGCGCCTTGAGAGAAGTAATTTATGTTTGTTTAAGCTTCTTCGCTTAAAGACAGATGCGCTTTTACTATTGACTGCTTATTTATCCTGAATATGAACTGGTTTCATTTTCATTAATCCTTACACTAATTGTAATACATAATAGATTGTGATGAATACTCATGCGTAAACTGTCAATAAAATTAATCAATCATTTTCAACATTTCAACATACTTAAATAGTCTTAAATCACAAAACCTGTCAATGTCTCGTAGAGACTTTTCATGATTGGCCATCACATTTCTACTAAATTTAATTCTATATATTTTGCTTACACAGTTAAATACTTTTTCAAAAAGATATAGATTGTTTATTAAAATTTAATATTTTAATTTATTAATTACGACGAAGTCATCATCCTGTTAACTTTTTAATTTTTTATAACTTTAATAAATCATCTATATTCTTTTTTTAGAATCAAACAGAAACGTGGTAACAAATCACACCCCACTTTTAACAACACTTGACCTTTCTTATCATGTTGTAGTCATACATCTACACACCATCCTAATCAAGCCCTATGATCTCGAACTGTGATTTTCGAAAACTCCCAAGATTCTATATGGGTGTTATGATTGGATCATTAAATTTTTTGGTACTCAAAGTACGTATTAAAATAAATTTAATGTTGCGAACTAGACTGGAATATTCTTTCACAGAATTATTTCATTTTTAAAATCATTCTTGTAAAATATTTCAGATTTTGAAAAGTAATTTCGACTACACTGAAATTAGAAAATAGTAAATTGTCTACTTACCGATTAAACCTTTTCCTGACTAAAAATGCTACCTAAATTAAATTAAAATGGTGAAATAGCTTCGCCACTATTGATCCCTATTCCTAACATTACACGCAAGAGCTGAATAATTATATAGTTGATCCAATTATATAACCCTCAGATACATGCAGTAGGGCTCTGCAAATGTACTATTAAAACATAATACCCATGTCCGTACCCGACATTAAGTTTTAATAGTGCATATGCAAGCACTTGCGGAGCCTAACCTGCAATGAATCAGATAATCTTTTTTTTTTTTTTTTTGGAAAGATAACTTCACAAACATTGAAAGAAAAATTTTGATCAAGGATTTTCTGAATCACGTGTTACAACATTCTTAGGACTAACGTAAATCTTCGGGTTAACGTTAAAGGTTGGCGGGTATGCAGTAAAAGATTTTTTTGTTTAGCGTTAACATTTTTACAAACAAACTTTGAGATGTTCGCGTAAAGTTATGCAAATTCGGGATTGCATATTGAATAATTTCGGTAGATCTCACGCGTCCAGGAAATCTTACCTATACTTGGAACGTTTACACCTATCGACATGTGATAATCTCATCATCCGAAATGCAACCCATCACTTTCAAGCGTGAACAGATTTATCTTTGGGTATAGTTATAATTGTGAACTCGATCGTATGACTAGGATAATTATTCTAATAGTAACTTTATATTAACGGTCAGAGATGTGATAACAATGTGAAGTTTAATAGATCATCTGAACGGTGTATAGTTAGTATGTATATTAAATTTAGATCTTTATCATTAATTAGTTAGTACTTCAAATTTCGATGTTATTAAAGTACCTACCTACCTATGCAATGGCTGTACATAATAATCATTTCAAATTAGAGTGCTCTTAACGTTCATTTTATTATTTTGGATATTTCGTTTAACAATTTAGTCGTATATTAACATTTCAAGGAAAAAATTTTGCAAATATTAATTTGTATAGGCGGATTTATGGACTTGGCATTAGGGTTTGTTTTTTTTAAACTTTAAATTCAAATTTTTAAGAAATAATTTTGTTGCCATTGTGTTCATCTCTTTAAGACGATTCTAACAAGTCCAAAATCAATCACAGGATCATGAGATAATGTGTGATCAAGTAATGCACCTTATATGTTGTACAATTGGTTAGACATAGGTCTAACCAATTATACGACATATAGGGCGCGCCACCTACTTGATCACACATTATCTCATGATCCTGTGATTGATTTTGGACTTGTTAGAATCGTCTTAAAGAGATGAACACAATGGCAACAAAATTATTTCTTAAAAATTTGAATTTAAAGTTTAAACAAAAAACAAACTCTAATATCAATTCTATAAATCTGCCCATATTATAGTTTCATTTAAGTAAAATTCCATTTATATCGAACTTTATTTGATAATTCAGTATTCTTATTCAAATCCAATCTCTAATTAACTCGTACATCATTTCGTACCTTTTTTAATAACTGTTTTACTTGTCACATAAATCAAAATGAATTTTATTTATTCTTTTTACGTTTTTCATAGATCATTGTGGTAAAAGGCCTAAAATAAAAATAGAATTCGTAAAAAAAAAAAATTAGAAAATAAGTGGAATAAAAGTCGATTGTTATATAAACTTACCCTTCAAATTGAAGTGCTATCAAGTAAAGTATAAACGCCCATATAGTTAAAAGGATTCCAGTAGGACACGCAAACCTATTTTATTACTGAAAATTTCAGAAATTGTTATACATTTATAACCAATTTGTTAGAACATACCATAAAGCAGTGGCTAAAAACACCATCGAAGATCCATAATACATCGGATTTTCAAGGACATTAAATGGAAAAGATGTAACTCGTTTATCCATTAGAATACCAAAGTAATCACCTAAAAATCATCAAGAAACAATAAAAAATTATTTTGAAATATATATGGCTTTTTTTTTTTGAGTTTTTAACAAATTCTTACCGAGATAAGTTCCAGTTACACCTAGCGCATACATTGATGATAACACAAAAGTATTTCCTGTAAAGAATAAAAGCGCGGCTAAACCCTTAATCAAATCATTTTGTAAAAACGAAGACTTTGGTTGATGATCTATTGCCATTTTATATCTACGTTAATTTTAAAGTAGATTCATTACGAATAAATTTAATTAAAAATTGTTGAATTTAAAACGACCAAAAATTTCAACTAACAATACTAACAAGTAATCCCTGAAAATTCCAAGTGAGAAAATAGTAATAGCCAACGCATAACAGCCATAGTATTGATTTCCACCAAGAAGACGAGTTATGAACTTTGTACGATATTCTGCTTGTTTTAATGGATTTTTTTTTTTTTAGCATACATAAAATATAGAAGGTACAGAATATATCGAAAGAACCAAATTTTTTTCACAACCTACTCTAGCAGCAATATTCCAAAAAAGAGGATTGAAAGATATTGAAGCAAAAGAAATCCATAAAGATTTTTGAGTAAAATCAAAAAGTTCTAACGACATTTTGTTATAAACTTGCTAGTGTTGGTGATTGTCGTTATTTTATTAACGTCAAGTTAGGATAATCGTGACGTCATAAGACAACATTCACTGATTGGCTGATTCAAATCAATAGTAATACACGCACATCAACTTTTTTAATTTTAAATTATTTTTTTTAAAAAAAATTTGTTTACTATATAGGTGCTTCGAACAACGAGTACATGATACAAACAGGTCACGTGGCTAGAGACAATTCGACATCTAAAGTTTTATATATAGAACATGCAAAGTTAAACTTTGATTTTAAATTTTCAGTGCTATATATAATAAAAATAAGAAAACTTAGTTTATAGCATATACAGTTGACACTGTCTAATTGCATGCTATCCGTCAGTATATGCATTTAACTTAGTTTATAGCATATACAGTTGATACAGTTTTTTTTATGAATTTAGAGAGTATATGCAATTAGACAGTATCAAATGTATATGTGCTACGCATTATAAACCCGATCATTATTTCTAGATCGCGGGGACTATTATTACTAATCGTCTATCTAGTTATTCTAAAGGTGTTATATCGTGTTGCTAACACTACTGTAAAGTGCCATATACAAACCCATGTACTATACCTGGGTGTAGATTGTAATAACCAAATGCGGTGTTTTTTTTTTCCGATAATACTGTAATATAAATACTCAGCCATGTTACCCGGATCTAGAGGTTTTAATATTGGTGAAATGCCGTTGATCAGGTAAATAATAAATAAACTTGAAAGCCCGAAGTCTCATTAATATAACTTCTAACTGGTTTAATACTTGTCTGGGAACAAAGTCTCATTTTACTTTCATTATTCGCGTAATGAAATACAATAAATATACATATTTAGCAGTCATTTCTTATCTACTTCATTTTCACACCCTTTCTTTCTTGCAATGACATACCAATTATCTTTATCATAATCTGTCTTGACTATTTGGGCAATTCCAGTACTTTCAATAAGTTCATCTAGTTCTCCCTTTTTAAACAGATGATAATATCTAAAATCAAAGATCAAAAAGAATATGAATGAGTCAGATAATGTATGACACGTGCAATGGACAATTATTAATCTATGTTTACCGATTATAAATAACTTCTTTTCTATCTTGATTCTTGTCTGCTGGTATGACCCAAGGAACCAACAAATCCTGCTGTTCTTTATCAAATTTACGACGCGCTTCGTTGCCTTGTTCCAAAGCCCAAACATATAAGAGAACGCATGATCCAGGTTTTGCGATTCTAAAGAGTTCCTAATTCACATGCAATATATTTGGTTTAACACAACATAGATAGTTTGATACAGTATTGGACTTTGTCAATTTTTGTCTTTAGATTTAACAAACCTTAATTGCCGCAAGCCTTCTTTCGAATGTTGTGAAATGATGAATCACAGCAATTGATATCACAAAATCCTACATATTTAACCAGGTTACATTTGAGAACTAATAAAGAATTATTTGTGAAAATTTGTATGATCCTAGTGATTTTGCCTGAGCATAATTTTTCAGCTATGACCGAGCCGATAAATTTTTCGGAATTTACAAAAATTTTTGGGTTCAACCTTGCTAATATTTTTAGGTTCATTTATTTTCTACATCAGAAATTTTCGTAATGGCTTCTTTTGACTATACCAAATTGATTAGCCGATTTTAAAAAAACCAACCGGCTAAGCCAATAATTTGCTTTAGCCGATTTTTTCACTATCGGCCAAAATCACTATGTTACATGGCTAAACAATCGTTTGTAAAAAGGATACAAAACATTCGTTCCTATATGGTAAATTTAACGCATCACAAATTATACCTTCATGTCCTCTAGATACACTTATTTCAATTAATTTAGAACTCCTATAATTAATAAAAAATATGGCATTAAAAGACATGAAAATTTATTTTTTGAAATTGATATTAAAAATTATACCGATCCGATCCAATCATATATATATTTTTATTAACTCCCAAATATTTCCCATTCCCACTTCCTATATCTGCACCTATGCTACCTATATCCAAACTATTAAGAAACTGTTCAACGACCGGCCATGGCTTAATATAATAAAATAATTACAATGCTTTAATGCTCGAAATTTTCAAGTTGTAATTTTGGTTAGGTTTAAAACTACAAACCTTATATCTAGTTTGACTAAAATGTGGTGCTATCGCTTGGTAAACATCGTGCACATACTTTTGTTCTTTTTTGTCATCGGTAAGGCTAACATTATCGTGTTCTGTAAACGCTTTTATTGGCGTGATTGACATTTTTTTCTAAGTGGGGTGAAATTTATTTTCAATTTTTTAATTTCGATAATTTTAATATTTATATAAATTAAATCTAAAACTATTGTATTTGATTTAGCTTAGGTTTAATTAATTTTTTGTCATAATTTAAATTAATTTTTAATATTGAAAACCTAATTCACCAATTTCACCATCAAATAATTTCAACAATTTCAACAAGAGTAATTTCACCCCATCTATAGATATACCTTTTGGTTTGCATTACCACAAGTGGTCCCTTGTTAAAATACCCACTACCGTCAATTTGAGTCAAATTGTATAATCTTTGCAAGGTAATAAGCTTATAATAAATATTAAATCGACGTACTTAAAAATAGGCTATTTAATTTGTTGTTAACCGACCACAAATATGTGTGGATACGTATACAGTATGTAACTATTTTTGCATCGGTATCGGTATCACTATATCCGTTAATTAAGCCCAAATGTTCTTTTTTTTTTACCATTCCTAGCAAGGGTATATTAAATGTATGCAATGTGTAAGCGTCGTGTAACATTAAATGGCTAGCTACAACGTTGGGTCTAAAGAAACAGATTTATCTAAAGAAATAACTTTATTCATTACATTTATATTTTCGTCTAGCTGATGCAACAAAGAGAGAAATCAAAGTCCAACGTTCTATCAGCTTCTGGTATCACTCCTGAAATAAAGCCTTCAGGTTCTGATATAGATAGGCAGTCAATTCATTCTCGCAGGAAAAGCTCACTTGCACTCGAAACAGCTGAGAAAGGCTTTCAGGAAACCAAAAAGTTTGAATATAAAGCAGAAAAAATGGCATTAAACAATAAACAAAATAGAAAATGGCTCCCAGCAGTAGGCTTTATTTTACTCCTTATATTTGTGACATGGCTCCTTATTACTGAACATAAACCTAACTATGACTCGGATCAATCAATTTCTGTTGGTACATTGCAACATTTCTAATATCTATGTTTTACATGTTTTCTCTTTATTATTATTTACAATCGGATCTATTATATTAAAAAAAATATCACAGACCATGACACGTCCGTTCAGGAAACTGACATTTCAAAGAGCACGTCTTCTCATTGTACTGTTGCGCATCCAGGACGTCAATTAATCCAGTATGCGCTGATGATTGACGCTGGTTCTACTGGATCTCGTATTCATGTGTACAAATTTAATTATTGTAAAGCCTCTCCTGAATTAGAGGATGAAGTATTTCACCATATTAAACCAGGTCTTTCTGCTTACCCCGACGACCCTGACGCAGCTGCACGAAGTTTGGATGTATTGTTAAAGGTAGCTCTGGATAATGTTCCTAAAGAATTACAGCACTGCACACCAGTTTCTGTAAAAGCAACGGCCGGATTACGTTTATTAGGTCAAGAAAAAAGTACACATATTCTGGACGCTGTTTATAACCATTTAGAAACAAATTACCCTTTTTACATTATTGAAGAAGATGGTGTTGTAATCATGGATGGTAAAGATGAAGGTATGCTTTGAATTTTTCTGAATATCTGACTTTTGACTTTTGATATTTATTAGTACTTTGTATTTGAATTTTGTAGGCGTATATGCATGGATTACTGTCAACTATTTATTGGAAAAGATTGGATCACAAGAAAAATTACAAACTGCTGCAATATTTGATCTTGGTGGTGGTTCAACGCAAATAGTATTTGAGCCGGAAATGACAGATGGTGACGAAGTTGCAGAGGGTGAACATAAATACGAATTAGAATATGGAGGTCACAAATATGTTCTTTATCAACACTCCTATTTGCATTATGGACTAATGGAGGCAAGGAAAGCAATTAAGAATTTTGCGGTTAATATATGGCGTGACAAAAAGAGTGATTCGATAGATGTTGATTCTGAACATATTTCTTCAAAAAATCACGTTCCTCATCCCTGCTTCCCTAAAAATTACACTGAACCATTATCTGGTGAGGATAGCACCATGCTTATTGGAACTGGTGCTGGACATGCTCAGTGCCGGTCCGTCGTAGAGCAAGTGCTTAATAAGACGGAAACATGTTCTTTATCACCTTGTTCGTTTAATGGTGTATATCAACCACCTATCAGCGAAACGTTTTCGAATAATGAAATATACATATTTTCATATTTTTACGATCGAGTTAGTCCGTTAGGTATGCCGTCCGAATTCTCTCTTAAAGAGCTCCGGGATCTGACCGACGATGTATGCATTGGAAATATTAATCAATTCGAACATTTACCGGAGGCGATGAAAGAACTTCAAAAGAATCCTCATTATTGTATGGATTTATCATTTATATATGGATTATTGCATATTGGGTACGAAATTCCACTAGAAAGAGAGGTTAAAATGGCTAAAAAGATAAAGGGAATTGAAACTGGATGGTGTCTTGGTGCTGCAATTTCAATATTGGATCAAAAGCAATGGTGCAAACTATAAACAATGATTTATAAACATTATGTAAATTATAATTTGTAACTAATCTATTAATTAACAAAACTATATTGATGGCTAGAAGTATTAGATTTAATAGAAATAATGAAATCATTTTTTGTGTGGATTTACCACTTACTCTATGTACTCGATAGGATGACACTTTTTTTTTCTTTTATTATTAATTTCAAGGCGTTAAGATACCTCAATAACAATAAGTTAACCCAGCTTAATCACTAACTTGTCTTCTTTTTTACTCTTTTGGTATTTTCCTTATTGAAAAACCAAACAACTGAAAATAATAAGAAACCCATTATCATTGATGCAGCTCCTGTATAATAAGGATATGCGGCAGATATATATCTCGGATATTCATTATGTCTGAAGGGTCTGATTGCTACGACAGTCGAATCCTCGATATATGAATAACCGGATCGTTTGTAATTAACCTTAAATGTGAATACACCATAAACATCTGGTAATTGAATGTGCGCCTCATATTTTCGCGATTGTTGTTCTGGTGATGTGGGATATGGAGTAAGAGTTTTTCTAATGTAGGGATCCAACATTATGGCTTCGAATTGTACATCGGTACCATTAAAAGGTTGCCAATGATCATTTACATATTCAGAAATTTCAATTATATAGACCTAATAAATCAGAAGGTTAGTTATTTGTATGGAGTAAACAACAACAAATTTATTCTTACGATGTTATCCTTAATACGATAAATTTCTAACTCTTCGCCCTCGCCTTCCTTATGATGATGCTTAGAAGTGACTTTGAGGACTCCTTTTTCCTGAAAAGTCCACTTTGTCAAATCTTTGGCGAAGTCCTCATTACCCGATTTGGGAAATCTGTAAATTTATTTATAATTAGCATTAAAACAGGACTACATAATTTGAATAGAATTAAGACAATGCTTACGATTCTGCAGGATTGGTCCTCTGAATGGATGAATCGAAAAATCTAGACATTTAAATCATTTAGTCGAATTTAACACAGCATGCGTTATTTACATCTCAAAATCAATGCATAAAACAAAATTTTCACCTATCACTGAACAACTCTATGCTTCCAACAAATGTAACTCTTGCATTATTTCTTGCTTGTAAAGCTGAGACAAGCATAACTTCATTTCCTATAACTAATGGTTCTTGATCTACCTGCTGATCCGCTTTAGTCTCATATGAATAAGCAGTTTCGCCAGCCCATAATACTTTAGTTAACAATGGGACCGTCCCAACTTTGTGTGCTATACCCCTAAAAAGCACTGGTGGCCCTTCAATCACATTTTTTGTTAAAATAGCTTCATTGTTCGTTATTCCATTTGCAACTATAAGTGTATGCTTTCCATCGTCAGACATGTCATAATTGAAATGATCTATTACGGAAGTGTCTATATCATCAAAATCAATATCAAATTCTCGAGCAAAATCCCGGATTGTTTCTGAAAGTTCTGAAGAAGCTCCTAGAAGTATATTGCCTCCTTTATTTACGAAGTTGAGAAGAGAAAGGGGGTTTACCTTATCCTTATAACCTTTTTTAAAAATAAAATTCATATTAGAATGTAACTTCAAAATTTAATGTATCTATGTACTTCAAATTCAACACACTTTTTGTCTTTGGTGCAAAATTGATAATGTGGTCATATGCACGTTCTCCATAGGAAAATAGGTCCACAGTAGAGTCTGTGGGCGTCGTATATGTTAGGTTATATTCCCGCTCTAGAATTAACGTTTTGATGATTTGCATATTAAGAAATTTAATTGATAAGAACATTGAATTTAATTTAAATAAGAAACTTCGAAGGAAATTACCGACCTTCTAAAGAATTAAAAAATTTATTATATAACGTCTTGTCATCCTCCTTATCAAGTAAAACCAGTACGCGACTACCCGTCGTTGATTTTGGTTCTACGCGAAAAACGCCCACCACAAGCAAAAAGGCAAAAATGCACAATAAGTATCGCATTATGACCACGAATAAAAATTATAAGAAAAAGCTTTATCGCGTAGTGCTAATTATATAAAATATTACCGGACAAACGTGGACCTTAATCATTGGTTCTGAAAAGCGAATCGTTTTGACTATATGCATAGAGCTTTCATTGCGATTGGATGATCGTAGATTATTCCATATCGATCGAGATGTCACACACAAGGGGAAATATACCGACACAGCCTACACGTGATTTAGTGCACAGCAAAATGGGCATTAGAGTTAGTATTGGCATTAGGTAGGGTTGTGTTAACTTATCTGACATGCCACTAGGGCCGGGCCTAAAGCAAATTTTACAACTGTGGGCCAGAGCGGGCTCGAATTTTTATAATAAATTTTGCACGCTGGCCAGGTCGAAGAAAAATTTATATATATGGGTCATGGTCTAACAAAACCCTTTTCTTACGTATAATTTGATTTTTTTGAGTTATTTTTAGATATACCGGTAATTTACACAATGTCATGTAACTACTAGAAAACGGAAACCGTTATAAGTCCGGAGCGAAATCACATGAGATTTGTTGTGTTACACGAATATGCAAGTGG